AAAAAGAAAGGAAATGTTTTTTTATTTTTTTGCCTTCTTTTAATTTTTGGTTTTTTGATCATCTAGGATCTCCCGGAACCTCAATTCTGAATTTAACTTGTATCACAAATACCATAGCCAAAATGCACTTACGGCCATTTGAAGTGTCTCTTCATTGCACCTGGCTTGTTGGCCTAGATGCCCCTGAGGATACTCAGTATTTCCTCTACTATAGGTTTGTACCTATGTTTAATTCTAAAACTGGGTTATTTCCACTGACCTTATAAAGCTTATGAGTGTTCTAATTTAGGTATGGGTCTTGGACTGAAGAATGCCAAGAATACAGCCAAGACATATTGAAGAGAAATATTGCATGCTGGTTTCCAAGGACTTCTATTGATAGCACAGGGCTCCAGAGGCTTGTGGTGCATGTTAATGGCTCAAGCAGGCATGCCACAATCAAACCATATGACCAAATCTTTCATCTTCATGCCATTGGTAAGATGAGCTTATATTGCCCAAAGTTAAAATAACTGCCTCATTGAATCTCAACAATGGGAGATGTTATGAAGGTCTCCTAGCTGAACTATATCTCTGATGTTAAATGACCATCTAGTTCAAGCTAGAAAACCACTGCGAGAGGCTTTCCCAGCCTCTAACCAAACAGAAACTGGACAGCTGGTGTTGAGTCAAATATGACTCAGAGTGACCCCAAATGCTGCAGAGTAGAACTGCACTCCAGAGGGTGTTTGTGACTGTGACGTTTTGGAAGTAGATTGCAAGACTTTTCTTCTAAGATTCTTCAAATCTCGTGCAGATTTTAACTGCCAGCCTTTTGATTAGCAGGTGCATGCTTAACAGTTTGTGTGATAGGGACTGTTTGCAACCTCAGCACTATTAGTATTTCTAGCTGGATACTATTGAGTTGAGGGACAAGGAAGCTTCCTGAAACCTTATCATATTTAGCAGTACCCTAGGTCTCTACCCATTAGGTGCTAGCAGCCCCTACAGTTGTGACAAACAAAAATGCTTCCAAGTGTCTCTTGGAGTTGGGTGCATCATCAGCACTCGAGGAGGATGGCCTTGGGGGTAGGAACTCACAGCTTAACCGAGCCTACTTCATCTCCTGGGTTCCTGAAGTTTCTGCCCAGTTGGTCTCATGATCTTTTTCCTCACAAGGAGGCCTCGCAACCCTCCAAAGGCAACCATATTTTCCATCTTTATTCTTCTCTTCCTTTTTCTGATTGCTCTTAGACCCCTTTATCATTCTGACCTGTCTCCTGTGGACATTACCAAGTTGCACTGCCTCTCTCTGTATGTAATTCTCAGATCTAAGCATTCTATTCAAAGTTTGATCAGCTTATTGCACAAGAAAGAAGATGTTCTTCCTTATATATTAATGAATGTTAGCACATGACATAATAAGTTATTATCATTCAAGACTTCTACAGGGTAAAGGTCGAGGGTGTTTATAACTGTTAATATGCCTGGATTTGAATCCTGACTCCTCCACTCATTACTGAGAGACCTTAGACCAGGTGGTCATCTACGCTTCCCTTTGTCTTCTGCTCTGAGTGCACCTGACACATTTCATAGCATTTCCAATGTCCTCAAATACATATAAAATCTTGACAATGAATAATGGGGATTAATAGGCTTATACTTTACTGACAACCTTAAGATTGCTGGTTCAAACCTACCTAGTATTACCATGGAAGGAAGGGAATGGAAACCTGCTTCCATTAAGATAACAGGCAAGAAAGCCTTATGGAGAAGTTCCACTCTAACTTCTCCAACAAGGGTCAACTATGAGTCAGAATGAGAAGTAGTAACATGATGAGAAGTAACAACAACATGGGTTTTATAAGAATCAAGGACATTAATAATCATATTGTTCTGAGAACAACATTTTCACGGTTCTTGATCTTAGGTCCCAACAAGTAGATTTCAACTCATAACGGCTGTTGCAACAGAGCAGAACACTACCAGGGCAGGTGCCATCCTCATAAGGCTATTTTGGAGCCCATTGTCGCAGTCACTGTATCAGTCCATCTGGTCAAGGGCACTCTGTTTTTCGGCCGGCCCTCTGTAATACCAAGCATATGGTCCTTCTCCAGGGGTTGGCCCTTTCTGGTGACATGTCCAAAGTTCGAGGTCTCACTTTTCATGTTTCTAAGGTACATTCTAGCTTTATTTCTTTCATGACAAATTTGCTTGTTCTTTCAGAAGTTCGTGGTATCATCATTATTCTTTGCCAACACTATGATACTGAAGTTGTCAAGCACTTAATTTTGTTTGACTCCACAAACAGCAATTAAAAAATCCATGATTTTTTAGTTGGAGTTAGTTGGGTTAGTCTGCTGCACCTCTTTAATGAGTTAAAAACAAAGATGTTACTTTGACGACAAATGAGCAATTGAATCAAGACTTGGTATTTTAAGTCACCTAATATATACATGGAGCCCTGGTTGTGTAATGATTAATAAGTACTAAGAAGATGATATATCATACTCAGGAGCCCCAATGGCTTAGTGGTTACATATTGGGGTGTTAACCACCAGGTCAGCAATTTTAGCCATCAGTGGTTCTGAGGGAGAAAGGTGAGGCTTTCTACTCCCATGAAGAATTAGTCTCTGAAACCCACAGGAACAGTTCTACCCTGTTCTTTAGGGTCACTATGGGTCAGCATCCCCTTGTGGGCGGTGAGTTTGAATATGCATGTGAAAGTTGGGTGGCAAAGATGGAAGAATTGATGCCTTTGAATGATAATGTTAGCAGTTTCTAATAAATATACTAAATATCATTATCTAGAGGACATGATTTAGTTCATGAAATATTTGTATATATATCAAACAGAGTAAAACTTTAAAGAATCACAGAATTCAAATGTCACTTTTGTGAAAATTAGCAATAAAAGATGCAAGGAGGCATCTGGGAAACAATGAAAGTAGTATGACTAGTGATACAACCTGACACAGACAAAATGAATTCACTTTCTTTTATGATTTGCATTTTGTTGAGGCCAATTTTTAAGATCACTAAAGTAAACAAAAACTTTCTTGACTAAGAATTTTCTGCTTAGATAATGGCAAGCTATAGGACTTGTGGGTATCATTCTTGAATTTTTAACAAGTCACATAAACCCAAGAAAAGGACACTCACATAGAAATACAGTAATTTCCACCTACATCACCTGACCATGAAGAAAATCAATTGAGATCTCACAGGAAAGAACTGAAAAACTCTACGTAAAGATAGAATTTTAGCTCTATCGATTTTTTTCATCTGAGACAACTGACAACCAATACTCTACCCCCCAAACAGAAGACACACCGACACAATGAAAGAACAACTGAGGTCTAGAAAGTAATTTGCTCATGGCAGTACATCTGCTGGCAAGGGGCAGGAGGGCTTGGTAGGAGACCCAGGGCAAAGTTCTTGACATTGTCATTTACCCTTGCCTTATCCAATGGAGTGGTAGAGCTAGGATGAAGGTCAGTTCACTCTGAGATTTCTTGGAAGAAAATTTTGTTGACATACTTCTAAAAAATCAGCCATTGAAAACCCTATGTATGGAGTATAGTTTTACTTTGATGCACATGTGATTGCCATGAGTTAGCATCAACTCAATGGCAACTGGTTTGGCTCACCCTGCTTGAGAAGGAAAAAGGGATGATGGGGTCATTCAAGGAGCTGATGGGAGAAGGGATTAATCCATTCACTTTCATCCTGTGTAGAAATCGTTAAAGTTCACAGGAGCAATCTTTTTTTCTTCAGCTCTACAAAGGAGAGTGAAATTTGAAGCTCCCAGCTTCCTAAATTTGGAGATCCATTAAGAATTGATGACAAATGTGAGGTTATCATACCCTAGAAATGCATTGAGATGTGTTCATAAATTACAGTTATCAGTTGTTGTTTCTGATTCTTAAAACAGAAAACAAGCAAAACAAAAACAAATACAGATCTCTCATTCTCTATCTTAGATGAAGTAAACCCTCCAATGAATGTCACAGCAGAAATTAAAGGAACTTCTCTCTGCATCCAATGGGAGAAGCCGGTTTCCGGCTTTCCAACCCACTGCTTTAATTATGAAGTCAAGATTCACAACACAAGGAAGAGTTCTGTTCTGGTAATCCCTTAGATTATGTCAATGTTCAAGGATACCTATTCTTCTAGAAACATTTAAAAATGATCTTAAATTACTGCTCTAGGTACAGTGTGGTACTAATAAGGTCAAAGTTAACTTACAGCTACCAGGAGTTAAGGAAATAAATCAAACACCACTGGCCTTTTATCTTGACATGACATTCTTTTGGGTGAAAATTATGTCAAGGACTCAGATAAAAACCCATTAGCACTAACAGACAAAAAGTTTAAGAGGAAAGGAACTGAGAAGAGAGACAACATTTGCTAACCCCCAACCACAAGCCAAGATTTATTATATTAGATTATTTCATCCTCACCATAATGATATTATGTAATTATAATTTCCATTTTACAGATCTGTAAAACTGAGGAGCAAGGTCAATTAAGTAACTTCCTCAAAATTACAAAGCTGGAAAAAAATAGGGAAGTCAGAAATCAATTCAGGGCCTTTAGACTTCTACACTGAAGTTTCACTGATAGTAAGCAAATCAAATTTCAATCCACTGAAAAAATATTTTAAAGAACTAGCTATTTTATGGCCAGTGGGGAGGCATAAAGGTAAGTATAACACTGCTTCTGTTACTGAGGAGTCCAATTTCATGGACATACTCGCCTACTTCAGAGATGTGCTTCTACAGTTTAAACCATTGGAGACACAAAGAAGTTAGGCAAAGTAACCTGTTGGAGGCCCCACAGAGAGGTGTGTAAAATCTGGAAAGATGGCAGAAATTTACCTGGTGAGACAACAGGGGAAGGAAGTGCCCACCCAATGCTTCTCCCCTAACTGTGAAATACTTAAAAATGTGTATTGTTTTAATGTCTAATCTACTATGGATTGGTACTTTTGTTAAATACAATAAAAATGATTTGCCAAAAATGAATTATAATCAACAACATATAAAATACAAGTCCAATACAGGACATCTGCTTGAATGTCCTGGCAATGTCAAATTGTTAGGAACATTTCTAAATTGTAGTTTCAATATCTAAATTTACATCAGCACAAATCAGTCATATCCAATCCCTGACAAGTACCAGACCAGCCACCATACTGTGAGGGGCAGGAGTCCGAAAGAACATGGCTCCTTAAGTCAATGGCCAACACTCTAGGCCATCACACTGACTTCCCTCAGACTGACCTTGTTAGATTTTGTCAGGAAAAGAAATGGGTTTCCATAGATATGAAAGCCATTGGAGAGTTTTAGCAATAGAGCAAAAGGACCGCATTTACAGACTAGAACAATGGTGGAAGCAGCATGAAAGCTGGATGTGGGTAAGGGGGGAATGAGGACATGGGATATCAGTCAGTGGCTACTCTCACAGCCCAAGCCAAAGATGAGAAGAGCCAGAATAGCCTCTGTGCCAGGGATGAGGAAGGGAGAGCGATACGTTGGTATAGGAGTAGGTAAGACACGGTGTCAACGTTCCTGGATGGCAACTTAGGAGTGGTATGACTGGCCAATATGGGGAATACAGAAGGGTCTATTTTACAGGAGACCATCTTGATTCACTTCTGGACAGTGTTATCCTGGGTTGTCTGTGGTCAGTTATCACTAACTGTGATAATTGTGGTCAATTTATCATTACCTTGAACCACCCCAAATGGCTCTTTATACAGACCAAAAATTTGACTATTGGCAATTTCCTATAGTATCCAACTTAATGTATCCTCAAACTTGAGATTTACAAAGGTAATTTCACCTAGCTCAATAATCCATGGATTAGATATTGTTATCCTGCTTTACAGATGGGAAAACTGAAACTCGGAGAGGTCAAGGAATGAGCCATGTAGTAATGGGAAGTCAATCTAGGGTTCCGTATTTCTCCCCCTAGACTCAAAGCCTGCGCTCTTCCCGTTCTCCATTCGGAACACTCACCACTACCTGGTTTCTGGTTTTGAAGCATATCTTCTTTGTAAGGGGTGTCAGTAAATGAGTTTTGTGAAGGCCAAATAGGATATATTTTAGACTTTGTGGACCATGTGGTTTCTGTTGCTACTACTCAACTCTACCATTTTAGAGGGAAAGCTGTCAGAAATAATATGTAAACTAATGGACATGGTTGTGTTCTTTATTGTGGACATTGACATTTTAATTCCATGTCATTTTCATGTGTCATGAAATATTCTTCCCTTGATTCTGTTCTATCCACTTAAACATGTGAAAAAGAAAACATCCTTAGCTTGCAAGGCCCTACAAAAGCAGACAACGGGTGGAATTTGGCTTCAGACTGTGCTTCACAATTTGTGCTGAATATGATGGGAACCATGTGCTGTTCTTTAGTAAAAGAAAAAGAGAAGATGTAGAGACAGAGCAAGGGAGATTACACATCCTACTAACTGCTACTCTAGTCTTTCATTCTGGAACTGTCAGTGTAGACCAAATGGACCATCTGTGTCTTATGATTAATCAGTGTATCTATTTTGGTCACCAAATAGCTGTTCTCTGCAGAGGGACTATCAACACATCCTTACTGAAGCAGTCTAAAATAAACTGATCAATACGTACCCTATTGGTTTTTAACTGATTGCTGAACAATGAATATATATATACATATATCTCCACAAAGCAAATCAAATCCATTGCCACAGAGATGATTTTGACTCATAGTAAACTAATGTGTTACAGAGTAGAATTTCCCTTTAATAAGAATGAGTATTACCTATATAGGAACCCTCTCCTCCTTCTGATAATTGGCAAAATATAAATGGTGTGTTGACAGAATATAACAATGTTAATTTTCCCCCATTTAGATAGGAGCGATTAAGACCAATTCATTCATCTCAATAATTGATGACATTTCTAAGTATTCCGTTCAAGTGAGAGCAGCTGTGAGCGCTGCGTGCAGGAAAAATGGGCAGTGGAGCAAGTGGAGTCAACCTATTTATATGGGTGAGTATTTCGTGCTTCTTTTGATGCAAGTTATCCTGTTGATACTATTGAGTTTATTACAATTCATGATGAGCTTATGTATTACTGGCAAACTATGTATACCACCTAGGGACAAACTACCTTGTTTTTGTTAGGTACTATTAAGTTGGTTCTGGTTCATAGCAGCCCTATGGACAACATAACAAAACTCTACCAGGTCCTGCAACCTCTTCACAAATGTTGTTCTGTTTGAGCTCATTGTTGCAGCCACTATGTTAATACATCTCATCAAGAGTCTTCTTCTTTTTCATTGCCCCTCTACCAAGACTGATGTCCTTTTCCAGGGTCTCTCCTGATAACATATCCAAAGTACGTGAGATAAAGTCTTACTACCCTCACTTCGAAGAAGCATTATAGCTGTACTTCTTCCAAGTTCAATTTGTTTGTGTTTTTGGCGGTCTATTGTACTTTCAATATTCTTTGCTTGCACCATAATTTACTGATGGTTAGAATAGATAACACATGTACATTCAATCTCAGGTCTCAAAATAGTTTCATGTCTCTAGTATGCCTCACCTTTTATAGGTACACTATATACTTGTATAAGCAATGTGTGTGCTACATGGTTTTTATAAAATCCAAAATGTCCTGGCCTAGTAGTTTCCTATGTGTATTTCATGCCTTATAATCACATGCATGATTTTACATGGGCACATTTTTTATTAGTTGGGATTTAATAATCTATCATATCATTCCATCTTTCAATCATGTCAAGTAGAATTGTACAATTGCTACCACAAACAGGTTCTAATCATTCTTTTTCTACACTGACTTCTTGATATGTCTCCATTTTAACCCACCACCATCATTGTGCCACCAGCCCCACCCTGAAACCCTTATTCTACTTGATGTCCCTATAAGGTTCATCAATCCTGGATTTCATATACTGAAACATGGGAAAGCATGTAACACAGCTTCAAGAGGGTGACATCGGCTGACATGATACCTCTGAGATACACTCTACTATGAATGAACAAAAACCAAACCAAACAATACAAATCCAAAATACAGAAAATTTTGGAAGCCAGATCAGGTCCAGCCAGCATCATAGGGGGGATATATTGACAAAGTTTTAATGGTTCAGATCAGATTGATACCTTTGATCTGTACTCCTCTTCCCTGATCACTCTGTTTAGTGGCCCCTTTCCTCTCAACCCTCAATTTTAGATAGGGGAAATTCTCCAGAGGTTTATTTCCTATGTAGCTCCACAAACGAATCTTGGGCTCCTACTGTTGTCCATTGTCTTCTGCCCCCCTAGGTTCTCACAATTTAGGCTCTGATATTGATTCCTCTTTCAAGTTCAGATTATATGGATTCCAATCCTTTGGTGACTTCTTCCACATGAGCTTAGTTGATATCTCTCTCAGATGCCTGCTTGTTTGGAGACAAGCCTTTAAAACCCCAGATGCTATTTTATCTGATAGCCAGACACCATCTAGAGTCTTCGCCACATTTTGCTATAGCACCCATATTTTCTGGTTCCTTTCCAGAGGGTGAGTGTTGAGCAGGGCCGTGATGTAAAAACTAATTGTTCTTAAGGTGAAGCTAGGATTTAATGTGAGCTACATGGGCACATCATGTGTGAAAATGAATTCACTGCCTTTTCCACCTTGATAGATATACAGCTACCCGGAAGCCAAAGAAGTTTAACCTCTCACTAACACTGGCCCTTCCAAGGTCCTCTACCCATTTATCTTTTCAATATAGACTGTTTTTACTTTGATCTAATTTTAAAAGTTTATAGTTTATTATTGGAGATAATTATTGTATGACATACTGTTGTATGACATACTGTTGTAAAAAGAGATTCTGTGTACACTTTAGCCTATTTCCCCAATAATCATGTCTTGCAAGAAAATAATGCAATATACATCCAGAAAATTGGTCTGGATATAATCCACTAATCTTATTCAGATTCCATCAGTTTTATATGTACTGTTTGATGGTAGTTCTGGTGGATGTGTATTTAGTTGTAAGCTATTCTATCAAATGTGAAGGATCCTGTATTCACGAGCAGAATCTAGATACAGAATATCTCGGTCTTCATGAGAATCCCTGATGTGGTCTTATTATAACCACATCTACCACCATATCCCCGCCCCTTCCTCTGCTCTTAATCACTTGTAATCACTAATCTAATCTCCATCTCTAGAAATTACTTGTACCTAATTTGACATTCACATTCATGATTTTCTATTCTTAAAGAAAATGCTAAAATAAAATCCAGCACTTCATAACCAGCATTACTACATATTCAAAAAACTTGGAAGTTGCCTGGCCTGCCGTGATGGTTCTGACAGTTTTTGCTTATGACCAAATTGACTAGTTTACTTGTAAGACAATTAATCACCTATGAAGGGCAATAAAATATTTTTAACACTTCTGATGAAAGGGAATTTATCTCAACTTTAGGCCAGATGGTTCCTTTGCTTTGACATGTGGTCTTGTGCTTGTAGACAGAGCATTCATGCCCTGTGTCTACTGTCATCTGGGTGTCTTGGGCAAGAGAACATACTCATTTTATGAGAGAAAGGGGCATTTAGAAAACAAAGAATGTGTCTTGTGTGTATATTCTAACTGTGCAGCTCGGGGATAAAGACATATGTGGTCACAGGCTGCATTCAGTCTACAAGAACATAGGAAGTGAAAGAAACACTGGAGTATAACAAAAAACACATGTTTAACCCCAGCCTTGTCACATATTGAAATCCCTGTTTAGTACAGATAGTTGATGGATAGAGCTACTAATCAAAAGGCTGAAGGGTTGAGTCCCCCCAGAGGTTCCTCCAAAGGAGTAGCCAAAGACCATTTGCAAAGAGTACTTGAGAGAGTTCTTTTTGTCAAGTGCTAAAATTTTCTATTGTTTAATTCATTCACTTAGACTAAGAGGTGAGGCTTCAGATTTGACACCTATCAGTTAGATCTCCATGAAAGACTGGAAAGAATGAGGAAAGGCCTAGGAATGGAGAACTGTTCTGAACAATAAGGGGGCTGGTCTTACTGAGGTGCTGAGTAGCCAAAGAGGAATGGCATGCCCTACAGGCAGCAAAACTGTGTGGTTGTCCCCGACATCAGCCCATGTGACTCAGGAGCAGCATGAGTCTTCCTGGGGAGACAGAACTGAAAGGCTGGAAAAAGGAACTAGGAATGGACCAACTTTACCTATTTCATATTTCTGATAAGTCTCTCACTCCTCACCTTCTAGCTTGCTACTCCACCTCTCTAAATGACCCAGCATGCACACGGCTTCTGTCAACAATGCTTCATCTGTACCAGTAAAATACACACTGTGTATTCATTGTGAGGAAAACCAATAGAAGATTAATCAGTCCTAGAGAATTTTTAATAGGGTTATTAGTTTTATCAAATCCTATGGAAGCAGCTTAATTTTTGGTTACTCATACTCTGTGAGTTTCCTTTTAAAAAGCTTTATGTTAATTCTTCAGGGCATAAGAATTGGTGACAAACTATTGATGTTCCCAAATGTCTTTGTAATGCTATTACTTATGCAAACAGTACCCATAATTTTTCAGTGGTACCCAAGGTGCCTGAGACCACCTTGTTGGAACTTGACACCAAAACCTTGGCTAAGGATCCATTTCTGCTTACAAGTGTTTGAGATTTGAAGTCACAGTCAGTGTTGACCATAGAGAATTTACTGCTATAAAGTGAGGACAGCCATAGTCTAGATTTTCACCATGGCTTTGTCAATGTCTGAATCTATTATCTAAATTGTTGTTGATATTGTCATCTGGTGTCATGGCAACTTTATGTATGATAGAACAAAGTGTTGCCTGGTCATGTGCTACCGTCATGATTGTCTGAGTCTACTGTTGTGGCTATTATGTTAGTCTTTCTCATTGAGGTTTCTCCCACTTTACCAAACATGATGTTCCTTTTTAGTAAATTTTCTTCCCTCTTGGCATGTCTATAATCAGAAAGTGCTCTATCTAATCCATAGGCTAATTTTTACACCATAGATAACCTTTTTTTCTAGTCTGTCTTGGTCTGGAAATTCCATGGAAATCTGTTCAGTGAAGTACCAGTGACAGCAACACACAAGTTACTATGGTGTGACACATGAGCACATGAGTGGTAACACAAACAGACAACAACAAAAATCCACTGCCATTGAGTTGATTCCAACTCATAGCAACCCAGGAGATGGGTTGTGGATAATTTAAATTGAGATGGTAAAATACAATATTTAATGATTCAATCAATACAAGGGAACTTCAACATTTTCAGTAACATATGGAATTTGAAAAGATAATAGAAATCTTTTCATGGACTTTTTGAAATTCTCTCATAATTGAAGACGGCTCTGTGTGTTGTGTTGAGAAGACATCTCAGGCTAAATTGGGGCTGTCAGATTTATCAGCAACAGCTGCAGAGGATATAATGGGGACTAGTGTGCCAGCAGGGTTTGGCCACCCCGGACGTACCCTTCATGCCTGATCTGTCTGGTTCTCAGTTCTCTCTTCCGTAAAATGCGAGTGCTGCCTCTGTGTAGCTCTGCCATTCATGTTCTTTTCACTGCTTTCCCCAACCACACTCGTGCTGAGAGTGGAATTGTGATCAATAATGAGAATTATTTTGAGCTTGTTTTGAATTTATCATTCACTCTCCGTTATTATTTCCTACATAACAGCTACTTAGCTTGGGCCTGAGCTCATTAGAGTTTCCCCCCAGGTGGACCTCATTGCCATTAACTATGGAAAATCCCATTTCATTTACTGCCACCCTTTTCATGAAGATGAGCTGATTAATATTACTACTCACTTTATAAATCCATTGCTACTGAAATTTACTGCCTTGCGCAGTTTAGGATAATTAGTGAATTTAATCAATGCAGACTCTCCATTTTCATCAAGATGATTAATAAATATAAAAGAAGCCCAAGTCCCTTGAGGATGTCTTGTGTGGCTCTTCCTTACCCTCAAGAGGGTGGCAATAAAAT